TTTTTTTTTTTTTTTTTTTTTTTTTTTTTTTGGCCAACGATTCATTAGCCTCTTTAAGGAGCCTGCTCCTTAAACCTTCATAAAAACAAGTCAAAATCCTCCCCAAGATCTCAACTACAGTCAGGTTTTGCTTCTCTCCAGGCTGGTGTGAGATTATAATGCTTCTCAAGGTGTTCCCTTCCTCATAATGAAGCTCCATCTGTTCTACAGATGGTAAAGATCACAAGAACCAGCATTAAATATCCCTCCCCCACTAGAATTTTTACCTTATGGTAATGCTGCTCTTTGTTTTCTCTGGCTTTCCCAGGAGCAGAGGAGCGTGCTACAGAGCACAGGGACTCATCTATTGCCCCAGCCAGCCCAGGCAATGGTGGCTGCCTCTGCATGAAGAGCATTTCACAGATTTTGGCTAGGACTGAGCCAGAGGAAGAGCTTTCTGACTGATTTTTTTCAGGAAAACTCTGTGCCCTTGAAATCACCAGCTGTATTTTTCATCCCATCATCTCTCAGCTACTAGCCCCAGCTTTGCCCCTGATAGACAAATCTCTACACTTTTCTTTTACGTCTTACTCCCACGTTTTTGCTTCCAGGGCAAATAGAAATCTGTTGCAGCAAGGACTTATGCTTTGAGGCACACCAAAAATTCAAGAGGTCAGGTCCCAAAGGATGGGAAATAAATTTATAGGTATTTGCTACTCATTTCTGGCTCTTTTTCTTCAGATATCTGCATGAGATTTTGAGCCTACGAAGTACTCAGTGGGGGTGAGCTCCTGGGTACACTGCCAGCCTCTGAATGTTGGCCTCCTCTGGTATAACCTCGCTGAGCATCAGAAACCAAAACACAAAATGGAGCCACCTTTGATGATCTTCCTCTCCATCCATAATCAAAATAATTAGATTCACTTAACTAAACAAGTTTTAGTTCTACAACAGGATAAGCACACTGGATCTTTAGACAATCCTCTAAGGCCGCTGGCAATGGACTAACTCCATTTATGTGGTTTAACATTTGCCTAACAGAAAGCACTGCTACTTTTCTCTTCTTGACAGGTAGATAATCCTAAGAGGTCTGACAACCGTATTAACATCCAAACCACAAACGACGGGTAATATGAAAAGCTGGATTTTCTGACATACAACCTTTACATCTGCTTTCTACATCAGAGCCAGAATTAGTTCTACTGTTGTGTTTGTATTAAATATGTGGATTAATGGAGCTCAGCGAGAGTGCTGAATAAGCTCTTCCCATCTCCAGTGGCTTTGGACTGCATCTTTCCATGGAGAGACAAATGTGTAGCTTGTTATATTCTGTGTTTTGCACTTGGAAAAACTGTGGCTTGGTGCTAAATCAACAGCTGCTTGTTCAGAAGAAGGGATTCCAAACTTCTATTAGGACTAAGCAAATTTGGGCTGGGGGTGCTAACAGGGCTGAAATCCTACAAGGAATCATTTTGGTGGTGTCAGTTCAGACCATAGCCCACCAACAGTGCCATTGCTCAAAGAGAGCTGACCCCTCTCATGCATGCCAAAAGCCCAGAGTCCTGATCCAGGAAGATTTGATGGCACCTGCAAACCCAAACAATAAGATATGTTGCTCCAGTATCTTGGCTCAGTCACTGCTCAGGTAATTACATCCCACTTATCTAAATTTCTTCCTCAGTTTTCCCTGGCATTTAGTAATTTTCTTCACTTCCTTTCCAAAACAGCAGTTTAACAGTCCAGCTGGCTGCTGAATAGTCACCATCCTTTGAATGATGGCTAAATGTCTCTTCTGTGCATAATTATGTGCACTTTGCAAGGCACCTTGGGACCTTATGAACTGGGGGAAGGAGAGAAGCGATATACAAAGTGATGGGTTTTGTTTTCATTTTTATTGGTCTCACAACTGGGAGCACTATTGGCACAAGATCTTAGAAGCTGAGAACAGGTAAAAGCAGCTTTTCCCTAAATTAATAACTCTACGGAAATAAAGCCCAAATCACAATAAGTTTTTCCATACAATTCCCTCCAGCAAATACTTTGTTGAAGTAATAATTTCAGCAAGAGTGGGACCCAGATGAGCTCCAAGTCCCAGAAAATACACGTATGCCCACAACAGAGGTGCACAGAGACAAGTTTCATGGAAGCCACTGCACAGGGTTGGGTCCAACATCAACCAGATTGAGCCCAGAGGTTCTCCATGCTCTGACTGGGCTGAATAGGGCATCACAGATGAGTGTTTGACATTGCATCTGGCTGCAGTTTTTGGTGCCTAAATTAGGGCCGTGGAAGGGTTTGCAGTGATGTCACCCCTTGGGCTGTTTTCACAGAGCTGGACATACAGGGACCGAGCTGATGGGAAAAGGCAGGTGGGAGAAAACACGGCTTCCATGTTTTGCTCTGCAAAGTTAAGCCTGCAGATCCCTGTTCTTCAGGTTACAGCAAAACTGAGGTGATGGGCCCTCATTTTCCTTCTTCTAAACACAGACAAGTGTACAGGAATCATGGGATCAGGAGAGAAAGCAACAGGGGGTTTGGTTTTGTTGTTCAACATTTGGGAAGAGGAGATCTGCATGGTCATGACTCATTCCCTAAAAATACCTGTCTCTCTCCATTGACTGCACAGGGAGCCCAGGGTGACCAGCTTGATGTAGAAGTGAGCCGTGGAGATATCTGAAATTAGACGAAGTGAATCCCATCTCTCAAGCCAGTCTGGGTAGGAGGTAGTGTGGGACGGTGCAATGCAAGAGTCTACATGTGAGCTGGAAGTCTGCACTCCCACTGCCGGCGCTGGGGATCTAGTCAATGTGGTCGGCAGAGCCCAGGAAGCAATGTGTCTCACTGTAAAGCAGACTCCTACGTTTGGTCAGTGAATCACTCTCTATACGCCTACATTTCAGTGAGATGGATCCTATCCCTGAAGTTAAGAGAGATGAATCTCACCCTGAAGTCTTTCTCCTCCTTTTTGTATCTGCTGCTAAAGTTTCCAACGTGCTATTACACGAAATCAATTGCTCAAGCTAGCCATCACTCCACCTTCCCTCCGTCCCCAACAGAACCATAACAAGCTAACACATTTTCATGTTCATTTTCCAAACTTCATTTCCAAACTCGAAGTAAAATCTTCCAACATTCCTCAGCTTCCATCAAGCCCTTCAGTGTCTACATACCTCACCAGCACATTAGAGCTTTCTTCTTCCTCCAGTGTCCAAATAAAGCTCTTGCAGCTCTCCATTATTGCAAACAGATCTGGGTATCCCTTAGGCTGCAATGAAAATATTGCATATTATTCCACCATTTTTCTCCTGTTTTTCCCACTTGCTGTGCAACAATACAAATGTAGTTTCTGTCAATACTAGTGCCAATGCGTTCTCAAATAACTGCATGTCAGGTGCACAAATTACAGGACTAACAGAGGCTGTGATTACATTTCGTGTATGGGTTCTCAAGGCATATGATAATGAATATTAATAGAAACTATTTCTCCAGTAAATGATTGTTTTCTCAGTAGTTGATATAAATAAAACCACTTGGATAGGAAACAGATTTTTTGATGTCTCTATCACAAATGCAATGATGTATTTCCACAAGAAAAGGCACACCTGCCAGTATACACTAGTAGAAATGTAAATATTTGCAATTTTTGTAGTAATTAAACCCAATCCTCCAAGGCCCATCTCACAGCATCAGAAGACAGAATGTAGGTTCATAAGCTAACAAAGAATGAATGAAGTATCACAAAACCAGATGGAATCAAAATTAAAACTCAGAAATCAATCGGAGGAGGCAGGGTCTGTCTCTCCAAACTTCAGATACCTGTAAATGGATGGCTGCAGGTGAGTTAGTCACTCTGCCAGTCATTCCCACATGTCTCAATGGAGACAAACAGGCACCTAAGGCACAATTCTCTCATCCACTTTAAGTATCTAAATTTGGATGAAATGAATCACTGTCTCCCTGGACTAGATCTCCACTGTCTGCAGAGGGAGCTAAGGGAGACTAGCTGAGATTCAGGCACTTAGTTAGATGAACACAGGCATAATAACCTACCTTAAAAACATAGTTTGTAAAAAAAAATGCACAGAAAACAACTGTTACCCATTTAAAAGAAGGGAAGAATTACAGATCCCAAACTTTGTTTATTGGAGAGGCTGTGTAACAATGAACAACATCTTTTATTCCACTGTGATAGAGGGCAGTGGACCTGTGCTCTCTTCTGCATTGCTTCATTTGCCAGCTAAATCTCACCTAAGGATGGAGTTACGGGTAGTGGGCTACAACAGCAACTCCACAAGGAGAGCAGAAGAAAAAGTCTTGAAGGAAGACGAGGCAAGTAAGAGCAAAGGAGGAAAAAGGGACTGAAAAAGGAAAGGAAATGGGAAGGGAAAGGGAATTTGCCTATAAATATTAGTGCTTTTCTCCTGAAATGGAAGTCTTCTTTGGGAAGCAGATGTTATCCCTAAAGAGTTGTGTTTACTGAAATACACACACAAAAAAAAAAAAGAAAAAAAAAAAAAAGAGGAAAACAAGAAGAGTTTTGGCAGATTATTCTGACTTCCTACAGTCTATTTGCAGTCAAATCTGTGGGAAGTGGACGGGAGACTTGAGGGAATATCTGCAGAAATTCATTCCAAGGTGATCAAAGGGAGCTTTACCCATGAATTTACTGTCCTACTGACTTATTTTTTCAGAAATCCTAGACACCTGGAGAGGTGTTAAAAAGATGAAAGGGGAAAAAAAAAAAGATCAACAACATTCTGCTCTTCAAAATTTCAACCTATTCCATCCTCCAAACCTCACTTCAACACCTCTTGAAAAACTGGAACACATTGAAAGAAAAGAAAAAGCTGTAACAGATCCGTGAGCTTTTATACTATTTATACTTGTTTGCTATGGATTTTTTACGTACAGCTAATGGCTCTGCTAAGCCACATGTGTTCTCCTCATCCTCTCTGTGCAATTTCATCCTCTTTCTTTCTTTCTCTGCAGCATCTTCTCTACACCATCTTCAATAAGGCCTTAATCTCTTCAAAGCAGGATTCTCCTATTTGGATTTAGGTGAGCAGGAGAGACTTCAGTCATAGCTGAAGCCCTGAGGTGCTATCCTGATACAGATGAATAAGGATCGGAAGGGAGAGTGAGGCTGATGTTTTCCAAAACGATTCAAGGAGCTCAGGTAACCTTCCCTTAAACCACTTTAGCTTTATGAGCAAAGAAGCAGAACACCACAGTCCTAGTTTTGGCAAGATACTTAAGCATGTGTTTAGATAAGATCTTGGAGTTAATGGGATTAATCAGAGGTGGTGTACATTGGGCCATATAAAACATGCATTTCTAGGTATCACTCTAAAATGTCCCAAATATGAGCCTTTCTGAGGGAAAACTTTTCTATCACGTATCTTTTTGTTGCATCAGGCGAAAAAAACCCACTCCTGAGCTTTTAAATCTAAAGTGCCTTTCACAGTCATCATCAACTTTTCATAGAGTAGTAAATGAGACAAAAGATACAGCAAAGATCCCAATACAGCAAAGCCATCATTATAGGAAATATTTGTCCCAGCCCTACTCGTTCCAACAAGCACTGTTCTGTGCTTTCGGTTCCTTGTCCACAAGACTGATCATTCATAGCTCACACTGACATGACCCAGTCCCTCAAAAATAAAGCAGTTTATGGTTATTTTCTCCTAAAGACAGTGACAGTAGCACAGTTAAAGTCCTTAGCAGGAGCCAAGTTCCCCTCCTGGAGTTCAGGGATAGGTATCCCTGCACACTGGGTGAATGGCTTGAAAATATCTACATTTCAAAAATTCAAGCTTCATGGGTCAAAAAATGTCTTTATCATGCAGCCTGTTGGTGAATGTGTTCAGGCATAGGCAAGGCTCTTGGGGTTCTGGGCTGTTTTCAGTCATGCTTATGTCACTGATATTAGAAGACATTCCTTAAAAACACAGAAATGACTGTGAACAGGAGCCCATGCTTCAGTGCTAGTGTCTTTTTTCCAACTGAACTGTGAAAAAAAAAAACAGGAAAAAAAGCACAAGAGCAATAGAAAAGTGAGCAAGCCAAGAGGAAAATTCAGCCCCATTTCTACAGCATTTAAGTGAAAGATTCAATGAATGCATTGCTTTAGGTTGGAAAGAGAGGATTTCAGCGCTACCATTAGCCTCTGTCAATGGTCTGAGACACACAGCTGAACTTCACACACAGCTCAGTCCTACTGCTGTTTAACTGCCAATACAAAAGATACTATCTCTACTGAAGCATGAACCCAAAGCTTAGATTTTCAGGAAATTGGCAGGCAAAGCAGTGGGAGGAGGCAAAAAAACAACAGCACCCAAAACATCTTGTTTGCTAAATCTGTTGGTGGAAGCGGTAATGCAAGGGCTGAACCCACCAAAAGCCCTGCTGGAAGTTGTGCAGTCACTTCTCACCAGGCTGAGCTCAAGACTGTGTGGTCTGTCCTGTGAAAAGTAGATGAGAAATCCAAAAATAAAATAGCTGACTTTAAGTTGCGATCAGCACACCATACATATGTAAATTGTTGCTGACCCTGAGAAAAGCTGCCTCTGCATTATGATAAGGTCAGAAACCTGATTGAAATGTTTCATAAAGGGCATTATTTTGGAGGTGATCCTTAAACGAGCAGAGCAGGAAAATCATCACTGTCTTCCCTCAGTAGTCAGAAAAACAGGTTACCAATGAGAGGGACTTTAGCCAAATTATTTTCTTTGAAATTCAACTGGTGCTGGATTTTCTGTATCTCAGAGTCCTCTTTAATGACAGCATAGTTCTGGGACACAATTACATAATTATTACTGTATTGATAACGTGCAAGCATCTCCTGGCCTTACTGCCCCTGCAGCTCTAATCTAGATCATAAAGCCCTCTCATAATTGCAATATTAATCATACCAGAGTCTGCTGGATGCAGTATTGCATCACTGTCCCTTCCTGGGTCCTTTTAACATCAGCAAGGTGATGACACTGACCATCTCCACAAACGTGCATTCAGGCCATTAGTATTTTTACCTAGTTGTAAGGATAGCTGAAACAATGGACATCCTCAGAGTTCTTCCCACATTGCTCAGCTACAAAAGGGTCTTTTCTATTTTTTTAAAGAAGTGTGAGGATTTTCCAGAATTTAGAAGCCCCAACAGTTTCTGTTTTGCTGTGAACATGCCAAGCTGACAGCTGGAAGGGCTTCCTATCTGCTTCACATGTGAACTAACTGCGCTCATGGAGGTTGGAGGAGAAAGGGGAAAGCTCAGTGTTCAGAGATGCTCTCTTTATGCTGGTACCTCTGCACTTCAGCTGCTCAGACACATTCAGATCAGACAGATCTTCATTGAGTGTCTTTCTCTCCACTCCTAGCACTTCAAATCTTTGGCTCAGCCATGTCTTTGCTGCTTTGTCAACAACCCTGCCCATCTGACAGGCTGGAGATGTCTCAGCTGCCTTGTTCACGACAATCTTCTGAGCTTCCTTTGCTGTAGTTGTGTTGTACTTCATGCTGGGCCATGTATCCCTCAACAGTGGTGGACTTCAGCTATCTTCTTTCAGAAGTCCGATATATGCTGTGGAATGGACCACTTGGCACAGGGAAGTGAGGCCAGATATCAAAGGTCATTCCACAGTTTATAAGCAGTGACTCTTCTTGTTGCATAGCCATCCACCATCACCTGGAAAGCCCTGAGGAACCCACTGTTTCCATCTGCTGACTCACTGACGCTTCTGCCTATCTTCCATTGTATGATTTTATTGGTGAGGCACTGGAGCAGGTTACCCAGAGAAGCTGTGAATGCTGTGAATGTAAGGCCAGGTTAGATGGAACCTTGGGCAGCCTGATCTGGTGTGTGGCAACCAGCCTAAAGCAGGGGGCTTGGAACTGGGTGGTCCCTTCCAACCCAAGCCATTCTATGATTCTATGATTCTGTGATTCTATGATTCTATGATTCTATGATTCTATGATTCTATGATTCTATGATTCTGATTCTATGTTCTGAAAATGCTCTTTTGAAGGAGCTTTTTCCTCCACCCCAGGCACTGTTAAAATGTTGCTATGTGCCGACCTCTGAGTGCTTGTATGCTGCTCTAAATAAGTAATCTTTCTTAAATTAGCCTTGTAGCTTCCCCTCCAACACCTCTCCAGGTACATCTTCTTCCTTCCCATTTCCCACCTACAAAGCAAGAACGTTCCTGATTTAGTCTTCTCTGTGTTTCTGCCTGTGGGAGTGTTTGTAGAGCTCACAAATGGAAAAGACAACTC